GGAGGCGCCCCGACCCGCGTGCGCGCCGGGGGACCCCAGCCGGGACGCGCCGCCGCCGGACCCTGCAGGTGAGCCCGGAGGGGGAGAGCCGGGGCCGGCCTCCGTCCATGGCGCCGAAGTGGCCCCCTGCCGAGAGGCCGAGAGCCCCGGGGTCCCTAACGCCACCAGCGCCCAGGGAGAGGACGCCTCGGGGCATCGGCGCGCCGACGAGCCCCGGGCACCCCCCGAGCTGGGCGCTGGGCAGGTCCGGACGGCCGAGGATGCTTCCAGGACAGGTGACGTTCAGATAAAGACTGTCCCCCTTGTCGACTCCGAGTGTGGCAGCGGCCGCGCCTCCGCCGTCCCTGACCTTGCCTCTGTCGATCCACCCTCAGACCCGTCGGCCGATCGTATTTGTTTGATGTTTTCTGACGTGACTTCACTGAAAAGCTTTGACTCTCTTACAGGCTGTGGAGATATTATTGCAGACCAAGAGGACGAGGCAGGTCCCAGCTGTGACAAGCATGCCCCCGGGCCAGGCAAGCCAGTTCTCTCTAAAAAGAACCCCAGCGTGGTGGCCTACCAAGGAGGCGGGGAGGAGATGGCGAGCCCGGATGAGGTGGACGACACCTATCTCCAGGAATTCTGGGACATGCTCTCCCAGACCGAGGACCAAGGACAAGGGCCCCAAGAGGGAGCGGCTAAGGCGGCGGCGGCGGCGGCGGCGGCGGCGGCACTGGACGCCAAGGTGGTGCCCGAGGCCGCCAAAGACGCCAGGTGTGCAGAAGCGGCCAAGGACGCGTCCTTGGTCAAGCGCAGGAGGCTCAACCGGATTCCCATCGAGCTCCAACCCAAGGAGGAGCCTAAGCGCCCGGAGAAGGAGCCGCAGGAAGGCGTCCCCAACAGTGACGAGGGCTACTGGGATTCCACCACGCCGGGCCCGGAGGAAGACGGCCCGAGCCGCGGCAAGAAGGCGGGCATCCCCCGGGACAGCGACAGCGGAGACGCGCTCTACGATCTCTACGCGGATGCAGACGGAAGCCCCGCGGCCCTCCCCGCCAACGAGGAGACGTCCTGCGTGTCCCGGTTAAAGCCCGTGTCTCCCGTCACCATCACCTGTCCCCTGCGGACACCGGGCAGTTTGCCGAAGGACTCTAAGATCCCCATCAGCGTCAAGCACCTCGCGAACCTTCCATCCAGCCATCCTGTGGTGCACCCGCAACCGGCCAGGAGTGAGGTGCCCAGAACCAAAATCCCGGTGTCCAAAGTGCTGGTCCGCAGGGCCAGCACCCGGGGCTTGGCTGGGGCCACCATCCGGGCCGCGGCGTGCCACGACAGCGCCAAAAAGGTGTGAGGTCTCCGGCCGACCACACGTCAAGGAATACAACTTGCCCTGGAAACCACTAAAACAAGTTCTGCTTCCCCTAAAGAAAGGCTTTTTAGGACTGCCCCTGCTCCAGAGCCTAGACTGACCTGGGGAGGTCTTCGTGGCCAGCTGGGGCAGGGGACACTGGAGAGGGGATGCCACACATGGGGTTCTCCTCCCCACGTAAGTCTCCGATGGTTATTTTCAAGCACTTTTTTTTTTCTTTTTTATCTTTAAAAAAATTTTTTTTTCCTTTCTTTTTTCTTTAATGCACCGAACGCTGGGAAGTCACCTTTACTTGCCTTTGCAGAAAACAGGATTTAACCAAACCCAAGTAAGCATCACATCATATGTGGCTGTGCCAGGGTCCAGAGGGCCTGGAGGAACCTTTGCCAGAACCAGAGGAATCCTCCTCTTCCATGATACTTTCTTTCCTTCCTTCCTTTTTTCTTTTTTCCCCTTCCAGGAGGAAAAAAAAAAAAAAAAAAAAAGACCCTTTGCTGTATCACTGTGTGGAAAACACCTACCGCCAAGCTGAAGGAGCCAGGTATTACCTGATGGATAGAGGGCATCATTGATTGGCTGAAAATTTGCCTTCTTTCAGTTGCTAGGTATGCAAATAGGTAAATATCTACCACTGGGACAAGAAAGGAGAGTTTTAGTTCTGTTGGTTTAGATCATTTGGGGAGAAATAAAACGCTCAGCAGAGCAGGGTTTTTTTTTGTTTTTTTGTTTTGTTTTGTTTTGTTTTCCCACCCTGAGCAGAAATCAAGATTGGGGAAAGATTTCACTAAATGCCCATAGACCCAGTATTTTAGCATTTATAAGCAGTCACCTTTTCATGTGTAGATAATGCATATTTTACAGTTTATGCTGCTGTTAATGTTTTATAATCTGTCTGTAACCTGGAGTTTAAAATCTGGTTTTATAGCTAGATACAGAAACTGTCCCCAAACCACTGATGTTCTTTTTTGTGCTATAACTTGAAGCAATTCTGTTTTGTGTTCTCTGGGTTCTCTTTGCCAGAACCAGATGCAGGAAAAAAAAAAATCTATTGTGCTGATGTTTCAGAGCAATGGTTCTGCCTTGTCTTGGGTTAAGAGTCTATTTGTTTCTCACCCCCAACCTTGGTTTTCAGAGATTTCAAATTCATTCTAACAGTTTGTGAATTCTACCATCCCTCAAGGTGAGGAGTCCAAAATGAGGAACACATAACAAAGAACAATAGAAAAATATTGTTTCTCATGACATTTGACTTCTGCTTTATAGACCTATGGCTGAGATAGGTATGATGTTCAGAACATGACACTGGCAAGCTTATGCAAACACTATATGCCAATATTTTTTTCTGAAAAGTGGCTGACTTTGTATTCAAATTCTCTATTATTTGTGGTGAAGCATTTATTTCAGAAAGGATTCCCATGCGCCTGGATAGCTTGAACGATTAACCGAAGCATTCCTAGAATGCTGTTAGTGTCTAATGATTCTGTAATATCGTCTGAAATGCACTTACTTCAGTGTATTTAATCAAAAGACCAGCGCTCATAAGCTAGGATGTGATTCATAGTATCATGATTATTAGATATATTCAAGGGAAATACACATGTGTAAATGACATAAACACTTCTTTATAACTCTTGTTTTCCAGAGAGGTTGCCTAAGCAATGAACTGATATTACACTTTTTTTGTTTTCTTATTTTTTTTTTATAAAGGAAAGAATAAGCATATGAAAGTTAAGTATAGAAAAACCTATTTTCATAATATGAGAGAAGTGACAAATAGACATCCGAGGAAAACAGATTTGAGCCAGTGGCACAAAGCAGGTGGTTCCCCATTTTAAATTTGCAGTGATTCAATTAAAAGAGGTGGTAGAGATTTGCCGAATTTCTTTATTAGTCAGATTACTGGTTTTTATTGCATTATGTCAGACCCTAATGTTATTTCAAAGTAATGTTTTAATATTTAATTTCCTTATGTCTATAAATGAGGTCCTTTACTCAGACATGGCCTTAAGCACTCTGAATACACCACTAGGAATTCATAAAGCGACTCACACTCACACGTGCTCATGCACTCAGCTGTGCACAAACTAACAGACAAAGGCATCTCCTATAAACTTGGAAGTATTTTAGAAATTATTTGTGTCTTGAGAAAGGGATTTAAATTGGATTTAACACTGATAGTGCTATTTAGACTCAAAATGCATTCATTTTCCCTTGGTAAAGAACATAAATTTCATTCCCAACTGTAAAACAAAGCATCTTTATTTTCTTCTTGCGCATTTTCTTGCAAAGGTTATATTCTCCTCTGCCTGTATCCATGACAAAGTTGTTTGTTCATTTGTTCCATTATCCAGGAAAGTTAAGATAGCCGAAATACTGATGAGACTCTTGCAATAGTAAAAGCAATCTATCTACTTATTTTGTAAGCCCTGGAACAAACTTTGCTTTCACAGACTTGAGGCTTATTTCTGCATCGACACCACTGTGCTGTGTCTTTATAGAAGTAAGGAAAATGTCGGCAAAGTTTGCCTTAATTTCCTCTTGCCTGTCAATTAACCAGTTATACAACCTTAGACTAGGGATCCTGGTTGTTTTTCTGTCGGGAGCTACTTTTGCCCTTTCATGTTCATGCAGAGTGTAGTTTAGAATTTTGATAGATTTCCATTTCAATTATTATTAACCCATTACCTAATTCGGCTATATTTCCTGTTTTTTTTTTTTTTTTTTTTTTAAGGACAGGGTTGGATATGAGGTGATGACACTTTTCCTGTGTCATGTATGATTCTGGGATACTTGGTTGATTAAGCCGCTTTAGTCAATGAGCTGGCCAAATTGGGGAAAAAAAAAGTCAAATCAATTGTGTGCCCTGAATATATCAGTCAGTTTAATAGCTCTGCACAAAGACGGCCTGATTTTAATGTCAACGTGACACAGACAGTGTAACTCTGCTCGGTGCTGATGGTGGTTATGCTTTCTTTCTTCCCTTAGTGCCAAAAGGGAGAAATTTTACTACAGCTTCTGAATAATCGCTAGAGGAAATAGGTTTTTATTATTTCACCTAATAACAACAATAGACCATAGAACGTTAAGGATTTCCGTTAGAAACATTTCCCAGGAATTATCTGCCTACTTAAGTACAAAGCATTTAACATCTTTGAAGGTGATGACTTACTGAGTTTAAAGGGTTTATTCATTAATCTCAGAAGTAGTTTTCAAGTATTTGCATGTAAAGGAATAGTCAAATAGCCCTTTGCTTACACAGCTATAGAGGTAAAAAGGCTCTATTAGGTATCAAGAGTTCTTTGAACTTTCTAAGAGTTTTTTGTTATTGACGACTTCGATTAATTTTCAGAGACTCTTTAATTTTGTATGGAGACTTGAGTAATGGAGTTTAACGTGCTCTCCCTTAGTTTCCTTCGTGTTTGCTCAGTGCCCTCAGAGGCCTGTAATGCGACCCTTCTCACGATGTAGCATGTTCTGACATTCGCCTGGCGGACCTCATTTCCTGTTTGTTGTAGTCATTCTAGATTTCTCTCCTGAATGACGGCTGTCTGGACTTGGGCCCCCTGCGCTTGGCTGCAACTGAGACAGGTTCTAGTACATTCACATATACTCCGCTTCCCTTATCGCTGTTATGAAATTAATTCAGGAGCTTTATGCTCTTAAACATAAGGAAGAAAAGGGATCATGGTCACCTCTTATCACTACTGAGAATGGCCGATTAAAAGTTCCCGGATGAGATGAGAGGGAAAACGCAGATACCTCAGCCTAGCCCGCCTTCTCTTCCCCTTCTCCAGGCAGACCAAGGCACGGACAACACGGTTCTCACTTAGAAATTTTCAATTCATTATGCGAAAATATTTATAAAACAGTTTGAGACCAAAAGGCTAGTATGGCAGACTAGTGTCTTAATGTAGTCTGTGTGGGAAAGCAGGAGGCAAGCATTTCCTTCATAGTGGAAAGAACGGTAATAGTGTCCAGTGACATGCCAGTGTGGTCTCCCTCGAGGGTAGTGATTGAGCCTGCCACCCTGTCCCGCTCCGAAGACTTTCTGATGGCTTCGTGGATGGCTTTGCAAAGCCTTTTCACTGTGAGAATAGTTTAAAGGCGACAACTTGTTGCAACAATAGCCATTTATGAGGAATATTATTATCTCATTGCACATATGTTTTTAAAGAGTGATTCACAATGATAGTTTCACGATTATGGAAAGGAGTTCCTTCTCAAACTGAAAAACGAAAGATTAAAATAGTCCTCAAATCTCCAGAACTGAAACTGGGCCCATTTTATGACTGATATTTACTTTAATCCAATGCGGCACATATTCATGGGGCATCTAATACTTCATAAAAACCCGTTCAGTATGGACTTCGTACATAGCTATCCTGTAATTGGATTTAATATTCATTAAAAGCAACTTTATTTTACTTTACCTACCTGTTTTTGTATTTGTTGCCTATAGTTTGTGGGGTGGAGCAGAATGGGGTGAGGCTGAATGAGGGCAATATGGATTAAGCTACACAATTTCCTCTGAAAATAGTAATTATAACAATGACTAACGTTCGTTAATGAGTTGAGTACTTACTAAGTGCTGGTGACTGCTAGGAGCTTCACAAAGATTTACTCGGGCTTCTTAAGAGCCATCTAGGTTAGGTAATATTGTCTCCTTAATATCACATCTTTAATTCGTCTTTTTTGTTTGTTTCTATCCCATTCCACCCCACCCCATCCCTGCCATTTCTTCTAATCTCTGGGACGGGGATCTAAACTCTTCAATGACTTATGATAATTCAAGAGCTAAGAACTGTTTAATGTTATTACCAGCTCCCTTTCAATAGGAAAAAAGCTAACTCAGGTCATGAAGCCGGAAGTTGGTTTTGTGTCTGAGATGAGGGCGCTCACGTCACGGACAGAGAAACCTGTCCCCGTTGTGCGGTTAGTAGGCAGAAACCTGCCTTCCTGTGGAGGTGTCTCCTCCCTCTGGGGCACACCATCAGAAGTATGGACAGAAACCTCTTCTGTTGTCATGGTGACACTTCTTCCTTGATAAGATGTCAGTCATTCCAAGCACGTATCACTTGTTTTCCACCGTAAGCCCGGGGTACGTTTGTTCTGCGTGTTCTGTGTAATTTGTTTGGATAAGAACTAGTTGAGTGATCCTTTGCTTTGAAACAATTCCCAACATTAGAGATACGCTCCTGGCTCTTTCAGAAGTACAGTGTCCTACCTTCTGTCTACAGCCATTGAACCCCAGCCTATATTTTCTGATTCATTAATTCATGCAACTAACTGTTATGGAACACCTATAAGTATGTCATCATGAATTTGAGTATTTTATATTAAATTAAAATGAACACAAAATGGGTGTTTGCTCCGTGCCGAGATGGTGCTCTGTGCTTTCTTTTCCACTGTCCTCTCCAGCAAGGTGGCTCTTGGCTCCATTCTACAGAGGAAGAAAATGATGCTCGCAAAGGTGAAATATCTTGTCCAAAGTCACCCATTTAATAAGTAATGGACAGAATTCGAACCAGAAATCTAACTCCACAACTCATGCTTTAATTTATAAATCTTTTATTTTAGCCATAAGACTCAATTTTTCTATAACTTGTTTTAAGTTAGAAACTGATTAAAGTTCTGAACCACAAGAGCCAAACCAGATTTTTATGATTGTGAAAACTGTTAAAATGACGACTATTTTAATTAAAAGTGAACTTTTAAAAAAAAAAAAATTACTTGGTGGTTTTATACCTGCGGGTCTAACAGGGAGATCTCAGAGTCCAGCAGGTTTATTTCTCACCTGGGCCAGTCAACATTTTGGACTGTATTCACCAGTTAGAGTTCCATACTAGCAGATCCATGTACAGATCTTATAATCTGACGCCTGCCTCGTCAATCATAAAATCAAAAGCAATTTCAATAGTGAATCCAGCAGGTTGCGACTTGAGTTTTCTTCCACTCTCATTCCGTTCTCAGTATTTGCCATTCTCAGTATTTGGGGAAATTTGGTTTGAAATGGCATCACAGTGACAATTAGTGAGGTTATTTTACTGATATATGGGCTAGCTACGCTTGGTTAAAAAAAAAAAAAAAAAACCACCTTTTTTTTTGGACCTCATTTTAATGAGATGCGGTGGAACATTTCAATAAAAGGTGGTCACGCTATTGAATTGTAAACTGGGGTAATGTTTGGAAATTATTCAATCACTGGGTAGAGTAACTTTCTGCTTTATGTGAGAAGTTAACAATTTTAATGAAATATAACCTAGGTTGCCGGTTATGGGAGACCTATAAAAGATACTTACCTGGATCATTTAATAAACTACAACAGAAATACTAAAAAATATATCTGGTCAAATTGCAAAGGGGCATAGAGTAGACACACAGTAAACAGTCGCTAACATGCAAAATGGCCCTCGGTAGCCTAAAAGAATTTGTGAACCTTCTGAAATATCTATAGCACAACTGTTTATCTCCCATTACATGGTTACTTCTACATAAAGGAGGAGAAACTAACAAGATAATATATAATGTGTTCATTGTTTCCAGGGTAAATCCAGCTGAACATGGAGGATCTGATAGTGGCGTTTTTATCAAGAATATCAGGGAAAATGGTTTCGATGTTATAGGCAAAGTAAATCCCTGTCATTTTTTTACTTGACTCCAGCTACCTACCAGGCTCATTGCTAACTTCGGGTTTTGCCCAAGTTCTTTGTATGAAATATCTCAGTGTAATATGGGAAATTGCAGGTTATTTGAAAGAAAACCCAAATGAGAAACTCCATTTCTATAATTAGTTTTCCTGAAAGTCAGGCATGTCTTTGAGGACAAGCTTTTGGCTGTATTATTTTTGTGCACAGGAGGAAAATTGTTCGTAGGTTTATAGATATTATTTTTATAATAGAAAGTTAAATTCCCCCCAAACATCAAAAATTGTCTCCCAGAACTACTCTATGTTTTTAAAACTTGTTTTAAAAAAAGATTCTAAATAGCAATAGGGTCTTTCCTCCTTTCTCCACTCTAATGATTTAATGGGATAGATAAACCAATGTTTATATTTTTAAACCTGTAAATATTTTATTTTGGGTATTTTGTATATTTGTTGATATAATTCCATTTTGTGCATATGTATCATTGTGCATGTTGTTTTCGATAGTCACTCTTTTAATGAATGTAAGAAGCTTGGACTAATAGCACTTTTCTTGTCTCATTCCAACGTCTTAAAATGAAAATACAACACTGCCATTTAAACTGTTGTGTTTAATTCAGTCAATAAATTTTGTCGCTCCTTTACATTTAAAGTGAATTCCATTGGTTGTTATTTTTCCAGGATGAATTTTATTTACAGGCTTTTCGGTTTTTCAAATTTTTACTCACCGTAGTGACAGTGACAATGTGACGTGCCTGCACGTGTGCGTGTGAGTGAGTGTGTGCGCACGTGTGTGTGTGTGATTGGCGGGAAGACCAACAGCAGGCCCATATTTCTTTCCACACTTTGTAAATATGTGAAAAATTGTTGTTTGGTTTGGGCAGGTGCCTTTTGAAAAGGTTATTCCTTATTCTGACTCTGATCTGATTTCTGAGCCTTTTACTCAGAAAATCTCCATTCCTGATAATCCTATGAGGCCAGCTCAACTGCTGTGACTGTTAGGAGCAGCCAGTTGGAGTCTTTCTAAAGAGTTGTTTTCTGTTTTTTATTTTGTTTTGTTTTGGGGGGAATGTTTTCACTTTATATATCTAAAGGATCAAGTTCATAGAATGTTGAAGAATAATGAGGTTGTGCCATTTTATGTTTGAAAAATAAGAATTAAAGACTGCGTGAATTGTTTTGAAGTATACCTATCTTAAAATAGTCTTGTTCACACTGCAGTTACTTACATTTCTCTTAAATACCAAGAAAAATTCATATTTATCTGTAGAACATGATGAGGATAATTGTCCAACGGCAGATCTGATAAGCACCGTAAATAATTACAATAAATAAACAGCAGTAAAACCACAAATAGTTAAGAAATCCACAAAACCTCTTCTCTCTTTCTGCTACCCCTCCCCCATTCTCCCAGACCCTTTGTCTTCCCTCCTCTTCTCTGTTCCTAGAATTGACATGGAAGACACCTCAAAAGAACTGAACCCAATTTCCCTTTAGTGAGGCGGTGGAGAAACTAAAGCTCAGATGCTGGGAGACTTACTCTGAAGTCTTTGAAGTTGTAAGATGTGGCAAAAAAAAAGATCAACTTGGGCAACCAAACAGAATCTGGACTTGAATTCTGGTTTGGGCACTTACCAGCTTTGTGAGTCCAGGCAATTTTCTTAACTTCTATGAGATGCAGTTTCCTACTCTGTAAAACAAGGATGAGGTTTCATTTGTAGGGTAGTTATACCATTATTAACTTTCGGGAAGGTAGGTGTCTAAGGCAGTATTTTCTTTTTTAGTATATGTTCATTTAGCTTCTTTTGTTTAAAGAAGGCATTTATAAAAATTAACACTTATGGGTTGGAGTTGAAATAGTCTCGAACAGAGAACTTGCTTGGTGTAGGATAGAGATAGATACGGACTTCTTGATTGAGCTGGAGTCGAAGACTGCTGAAAGGTGCTTAAATAAAAACGGAAACAAACGGAAGTAGTGGTGGGTCTTAAGCACATTATTCTGAGACATATTATTTGGAAATTAAAAGCCTACATACGATTAGAAGAATCCAGGGATATAAGCCTAGCTAGCCTTTGTGGAAGAAGCCAAGGATGGCAGCTGAGTAGGTTGGAGAGTCAGCTGACGGCTAAAAGAGCAATGAGCAGACACAGTGGTGGTCAAATCAGAATGGAGCTTACACTCCTCCAGAAATCAAATAGCAGGCTGCAAGAGGCAGCACGACCGTCATTGAAGGCTGGGTGGTTTAGTGCAGTGGAGAGAAATCAATTTGAGCACGTAACCTGGAAAAAAACAAGTAACTCTAAGAGACAGAAAATAGTTTAAACAAAAGGGTGATTTCTTCTGCTCTTTCAAGCGATGAATGAGCAAGGCCTGTGCTCTGAACCAGCCTCAGTTTCCACACACTTCTCACGACTGACCATCCCTTGGCCCTGCTTGGCGTGTGGGATTCTGGAACTTCACGATGACACCGTTCCCATACGACCTGACACCCAAACTCTAAGCCCTCTCATCGAGTGCTCAGTCGGAGAAACACCATTCACAGTGACACCGAGGGCATTGTTGGCCACACCGAACGTACGGGTGGATGGACATCGGTCTCCAGCACGAGACTTCACGGGGGAGTTTTAAGGGTATACACAATTTTTTTCTTTTATGTTGTTTCCACTGAGTGGAGAACTTTAAGCTGAAGTTTAAGAATCCCGAGGAAGCAACCGTGTAAACCAAAGGGGAGTGAAAACACGTGTCTCCGAAGGAAGAGTTTAAATGTCTTAGATTTAAACTGAGAGAACAAAGTAATGGGACGCTGCCCTTGAACTCCCCCGCCCCCCCACACCCCCCTGTGTGCTCTTGCACAGTCTAGGGTATGTTAGGTGCTTATGAACCAACAAGGGTGTTGAGCGACAAATGATGGGGTAAGGAAAGAGACATTCCCAGAAAGAACAGGAGCACTGGTGACAACCAGGTCCCGGGGTGGCAGGCACCTCCCTTTCTTCACATTGTACCCGGTGGAAGTGGCCAGGCGTGGATTCATGTTCCCTCAGGGAGTGAGTCCCCATTTAAGATCAGCCCTTATATGCTTCTCTGGCTTCTAGGTCTCCGATTTGAGAGGTAGTTTCCTTCTTAGCTCTTAAAATTTTTATGCTCCCCACGCCCTGGGTAAAAGTGTCCTTTTAGAAGTAATTGGAAGTTTTTAATGGCTGCCTCCAGCGCCAGAGCCGCCTCTGTGTTGGCTTCGTCATTCAGCAGATAGAGGCACTTTATAGAGGACTCTAGTTCCCTAGGGCAGCTTAGGGACAACTCTTGCCAGGTGCTCAAGGGGACCCAGGTCTGATGTCGCATTCTTGTCGCAGCTTTCCATCTGATGAAAAACTCACAGCCATTATATGTGGCAGTAAACGCACTCACGCCATTCGGCTCCACTCAGCAAATACTGAGTATTTAGTGTGTCAGGATCTGTACTAAGCGTGGTGGGTGTGAGTGAGTGAGATATAACACTAGCCCCTCTGCTAAGGCCACTTAAACTTCTCAATAAACGACCTGTGGACAAATCTCTGTCTTGGTGTCATTTCTGGGGGACCCCAACCTCAGATATAATTTTTCAATGAAAAAGTAAGGCTTAGAGATCTTAAGTGTTTCTGGCAGTACAGCATATTCAATAGAGTTAAAAAAAAAAAATCTTCTACAGAGCACTTAAAATGCCAGACAGAGTTAATTTTTTATTTCTTTAAATGCATTGTTGAGCTATCAAGGAAGAGAGGCCAGAAATCCCTTTATGTAACTACCGATGTCTGGTGGCCTTAAGCTTTAGGTTTGGCTGGGGACCACAAGGCGGGTAGTTAAATCCACGATTAGACTATAAGGATTGTTTTGTAGACATTTTTAGTAATTGAAAGATCAAACAGGCACGAAAGCAGTAAGGATAAAGATTTGAGCAACACATTTAGACACATATGTAACCCTGGACCAAACAATTAGAGAATCCACATTCTTTTTCAAGTACAAATAAACACTTATGAAAATTGACTACATCCTAAGCCATGAAACAAGTCTTAACACATTTCAAAAATATCAGTTCCATGCAGAATATGTTCTTTTACCATGGTTACAGAATAAAAATTCAACCAAGCGAGTTTCAAGATCTAATTGGCTCTCTCTTGAATGATTCATGAATCGGACAGTATTCCTTCTAGTAAATGTAAAGGAGCTCTGAGGAGCCCTAAAAATGAAAGGCTTTTATAGGCAGAAACTGGGAGGGACAAGAAAGTGAAAAGACTGGATGATTTCAGGCAAGGGCACCTTTTCTTAGGGGAAAGCATGGGATCTGATCAGGCCGCTGACCTCACCAGTGCGGACCAGGGGATTCCATACTGATTAGTTTAAAATTCCACTCCTGGGAGAGGCTGGAACTGCAATTAAGTTAGGTATTC